GGCATGCAATGGGCTTATTTTGTTCCTTGTTTCTTGATTATTTGCCCCTAATTTGTTAAAGTGGTCCCTCACGGCTGCTTTAGCCAGATGTTTTCTATAGTTGTCATGGTTTTCTGACTGGTAAATGACTGTACTGTATATTTGCACTATATTTTTAACACAGAGATACTCTAAGCTGCATAGCAATTATAATATGAGTTAAATATTAGTATGTAACAAATAGTGGGACCATCCCATTTAAAATGTGAAGCCAACTTCTCAAACTTTGTCATTAAATATGAATAGACAAGCCAAAATGGATGCATTTGCTGCAGCTGAAAAGGCAAGCAACAATACTGGCATGGTCGTCTAAAAGTTATGTTACTTTTGGAGAAGAGAGATTGTTTTGTCGAGCATACCCATTATTGCCCTTGACATAGGTTAATCATGACAATCAAAATAAGTTGTTCAAAGTGATTTCAAGTGTTTTGATTTGTGTGATGTCAACTTTGTCTGATGTCAACAAGCATACACAAATGAACTGAAGAAAAATACAAGTTGAACCCAGCCAAAAACTAGCTTAAGGTTATCATGTTTTTATTCACAAGTGCTGCTGTCAGCAGATAGGTGAGTTAAGATGATGTTCATCACATGGGCTACTCTAAGTTAGGTTAAGTCGGTCCAGTGCATGGCAAGTGGCAATAGGAATTGTGCAAGAATCAGTAACTCACAACTGCTGCTGTGATGCAAGCAGGTTATACAGGATTAGATGATGTAAGGCCTCTTTAAGGTTAGGCACAGGCTACTTTCATGAAAATAAGCATTGGTATTTTGCAAGAAACAGTGACAAATGTTCGTTTTCCCTGACCCCATCTTAATAGAAGCCAGAAGTATGTATATTGTCTTTGACTTGTGATGGGCTGATGTGTAGGAGTCCAAGGTTTTTTTGTTTGAGTGCTTTTTGCTTGTTGAATTTTCTGTTGTTTATTTTGCTATTGAGTTCCTTTACTTTGTTTTGTTTTTAAAAGTGCTGTGGAAGGGAATTGGAAAGTGCAGCATCAAATTATTGGAGTTAATAATTTGTTATGCTCATAATACTGTCATGAAATTATTATGTTTTAACACGAGCCCGGTTGGCCGGCTAGATACCCTTCGCTCGGGTGGGGAAGAGGGTCAATTTGACCTCCCCCTCTGAGATCTCGGGAACTAAGAAAGCTAGGGACACCAAATTGACAGGGTGTCATGGCCTATACGTGAACTCACTTAGGTTAAGGTTTCAGCTTCCTAGGTCATGACCTCTAGGTCAAATAAGGTCAAACAAGGTCAAATTCCAGTTTGGTTTCCAAAGCGCCCCAGAACCCAGGCAACTGTCCCGCTAGACAGTTTACGCTAGGCAGTATGTTCCTAAAACAAGAAGTTCGACCCGGGTCATCTTAGGTCAATGGCCTATTCTGACCTCTAAGAAGTCAACTGAAGATGCATAATGCGGTTCCTGCTGTCAATTAAATTCGAAATGAGCACCAAAAAACTATCCCATACAATAAGCTCTAGAGCAATAAATCAGTTGGTTCTGATCTTGGTCTGACCTTTATACCGTACCTTAGGTCAACGTAATTTTCTCATTCAATATTTGTGGTGCCTAAGAAAGCATCTCAGAGTTGTATCTTCATCTTCGTCAAAACACTCCGTTGTTGTATCATATTGAACGATTCCCTAGAAATTGCCTTTGCTGAAACCATGGGCTGACTTTGACCTGTCATAGGTCAACGACCTCACAAGGAAAATCTAAAATTTCATGTCAAACGATCTGCTGTGCAATTTTCTACAGCCATGCAAAATTTGGCGCGGCTACGCCGCGCCGTTCAGAGACCATTCGGAAAAGCCCTCGAGGGGGGTCAATTTGCCCCCCCCCCCCCACCCGAGCGGGTGTTGATGTATTCTGTTTCACTTTAATGGCCTACGATGTTAAAAAACGAAAACTTTTTGTCAGGTTCCTGATTTTACGTTCATGCCAACTTGAAATAGATGTCTTGTTTGCTGAAGCATCAGTCACGAGCTCATAAGCTCCATCTTCTGCGAATTGATTTTTTCACTCCCGCACGGTCTTTTGCGATGGAATATTTCACTCCCACCCTAGTTCAAAGCGATCCTAGCTCCCTGCTTGTACGTTTAACAACACATCAGAAAAGTCCATTTTTGGTAAATTTGCAAGCATTCAGGAAATTAATGCATACCTTTTCACTCCAATTCACCCACTTAAGCTCGAACACAAGCATCCATACCAACGTTGGTTTTCGCTCGCATGAACACATCTGGAAAAAACCTAAAGCATTCAAAATGAGCAACGAAAAAAATCCGCATAATGTGAATAAAACCGAAGCTGCGCTGCGCAACTTATGAGAAGAAAAGCAAAGTAATCCTAACGCCTACGCCACAGCCCAAGCCAATGCCCCATAAAACAATTCAATGACATGTTCGAGAAACATTTGAAAGTATCAACTAACCGCGCCTCATTCGCAAAAGGCACCCTAAAAGACAGCTACAATAACTTTACAAGGCATTTTCGCTGTTCTACAGAAGTTAACCTTCCCTTCCCAAGTAAAAGATAAACGCAAACAAAATATCTACCGCCAAAATCCCGTCCCCTGAAAAAGCAGCCTCTCTACCTCAAACTTCTTGGGTGATATGGAGTTGCCTGTCCTTTGAGCCTGCATTTGACCCTGAAGGGTAACCTTGAGAGGTCAGGACTTTTTGACGGACACTAGTTCTTTCTATGGTGAATGTTCTGATGTCTGTCAGTTAAAATCGGCCGGTAAGTTTTGGGGTGATATTGAGTTCCCCGTCCTTGAGCCCGCGTTTGACCCTTGAAGGGTGGCCCTGAAAGGTCAGGACTATTGGACGGACGCTAGTTCTTTCTGTGTTGAATATTGTGGCATTTGCAAGTTGAAAATCGGCCCGCAAATTTTTGGGTGATATCGAGTTCCTTGTCCCTTGACCAGCTTTTGACCTGGGAAGGTCACATGATATTGCAAAATAAGGGTCATTTTTGGTGTTTTCATGCTACAATTGACCTTGAAACCGTTTTTCAGGTAAATCGGAATCCGGCGCTGTAAAAATCGTTGAATAGATCGCTAACTTCACGGACATCTGGCGGGGGAGGGGGGAGGAAGCACAGGGGACATATCCTCCCTGGGTGACTTTCGGGACTATCGGCACAAAATATAAGGGCCCGATTGAAGGGACCGAAGGGCCTGGCCAGAGGACGACCCCGGGCAAAGGCTTCGCTCTCAAAGGTCAGCTGAAGGGACTCGTCGCTCCTGAGGGAGGGGGGGGGGGGATGACAAAAACGTCTATGTAGGTCCAAGATCACCAATGTTGAACAGTCGGCTCTGAGTCGGCTTGGGCCCTGGGGTTCCATTTATGAAGCAGGAACAAGGCCACTGTCCGCCAATGTTACTGCACTCCTCCTGCGTGGATCGATGCCCTTGAAATAAGGTGGCTCCCTATATCAAGGCACATAGTGATTTATAGCAGACCCTGTGTAAGCAAGGGGCTCCTAGTCGACCAGAGGCACGTTTTGCTGAAAAAGAACACGACGGGAACCAGAATGTCAGAGAGCCACTTGCGTTGGTCGAGTTCCTCGTTGCCCTGACATGGAATGGAAATAGGAACAAATTCAATGAAATGGTCCACGATAAGACAATAGAAGTATTTGGCCAGTCACGGTCTCTATGACCGAAAAAGAGCTCTGCAGGGCCCTTGAATTAATGAAATTTGGTGATGTGCTTTGCCCATGTCCTTGTCCCTGCCCTTGATCTCTCCCTTGCCCTTGTCAATGCCCTTTCACCCGTAATCGGTGTTTTAGCTCTGATGTCTGGTCGGTTACTGTACCAGATTTCAGCTGGCATCAATGGGGATGGCTCAGCTTTCTGGTGATAAACTGACCATTTCGGCTTGCTACATGAGTTGGTAATCAGGGTGTGTATTTTGGTGACAGAAGTGGCCATCCTGGTCGTCCAATTAATTTTGTCCCATTTTCACGCCTTCCGGAATGAAAACGCACGCTGTTGGCGAAGTGCATTCAACCACGTCAACGCCCTCCCCCCCCCCCCCCCCCCCCCCCCCGGAGAATGAAACAAGTAATCGAACTTTCTTCTTATTAGTAGTATTAGTATTAGTAGTAGGCATAAGATGCAAGGTTTGTTAAACAGGTGAGCTATTATAAAAAAATAATGAAGCCTGAGCTTTCCGAGACTGGTCTCACCTCTGTCGATGAGTTGTTCCTTAACAAACCTTGTCGGTGTATTTTGCATATAGATTCCGACATTGTTTACCGCTCAGCTCCCAAGTCATTTGGAGAAGATGCGCTCCTCCCTGCGATTCTCTATCAACGCCATTTATACGCGTTGATATGTGTTCCTTTGGTATTGATTCAATGTGTATGCTTTATGTCAGCAAAATGGTACTACATCTTTCCTGACAGGGAAGGCAGTGGTTAAGGACAGTGCTTATCGCTCTTACAAAAAAGTAATGACGCCGTTGTATAGCCACCGGTTAAAATATGCCACGCCCGATTTTCATCGTGTCTACACTGAAAAGCCTCGTGCGAGCACAACTCCGCGATACGAGCTCGTGTCAAATCGTAATGAATAAAAAAATAGATCTGCTGCATGCGTGTTTTGCAGAGTTGCCCGGACGGCCTCGCCACAATCGTCTCCAGGGCGTTTGGCGATGCTAGAAGGAAGCGTGCTGACACGCCCACGAGCATCCGGACGACTCTGTCTGGACTGCGTACGAAAACTCCGCTGTCAGTTTCAATGGATCTGTATTGCGCGGTGCCATCCCTCCAGATGCACTCAGCAGTTTTTGCAACGCCGATATACAATAGATTGACCGACCTGAAAATCTCATGAATGAAGCGGAAGACGAAACCGTTTCTGAAACATGTCATATAAGGGGACACAAAACCATTCGTAACCTAGACCTTGGGGTAGGAGGCCTGGGTGGCGATACCGCACTGGTTACTCTTGTTGCGTTGTCATCTTGATGTAGCCCTCCTCGCCCCAGGAGCCGCCCCAGGAGTTCTTCACCAGCCAGTAGTCGTCGCCGCCCTCGCTTGCCGTAGCCGACGGCGAGCACACCATGGTCAAGACGCGAGCTGGAGCAGCGCCTTCTCGTTGTAGACACCGCCGCTGTACAGCTGGAACGAAATATGCGAGGCGTCGATGGCCACGAGATGGGGCCGACGTTGCTGACGGCGTCCTCCAGGCTGACTCGGAGCCCGAGGGTACGTCCACGTACGACGAGAGCGACGCGACGAACTTGCTCTTGTCCGCCTCGCAGTGGCCGTTCCTGGCTTTGTACGGGTACGACGACTCGGACTCGATGCCGCCCTTGGCCTTGATATAATCGAAGGCCGAGTCCATGAGGCCGCCGTTGCAGCCCAGGTTGCCGTAGTTACCCGAGCAGTCGACCAGCCTGCTGCTCGCTGAACGAGGCCAGTTGGTTACCGGCCAACTTCCAATGCGCCCTCCAGTGAGCCGGTGGCGGAGAAGGCCCAGCACGAGCCGCACTGGCCCTGGTCCTTGACGGGTGTGACGGCGCCCTGGTCGCGCCAGTCGACGGTGGCGGCCCGTCGCCTTGCCAGTCAGCTGGTGAGTGGCGTGCGGACGGCTAGTCTGCGCCACGTAGCCCTTGTACATGGAACTGAACTCCTCGGAGGTCAGGTCGGCGAACTTGTTGAGTGCCACGGTGAAGGTGTGTTTGCCCTCGGCGTATTCGGCCATGTGCTTGTCGACGAACGCCTTGTTGTCGGCATACACCTTCATGCGGTGGAAACTCCTCGATGATGTTGGAAGTAGGTCTTGCTGTGGGTGGACTTGAAAGCCTCCCACTCGGCGCGCTCCACGAATGCGGAGGCGGCCCCCACCAGCGCGACGATCAGGAGGAGCTTCATGGATGCTGCGGTCTCGGAGGAGGAGGCAGGTGCCCCCAGTAACGGAGGCTGCGCTCCCTTTTTATACGGAAGCCTTATCAAGCTCAGGAGAGGAGGAGCACCCGAACTTCTCGTATGGTGGGAGAGCAGACCTGCTTGCAGTCCGGCCAGATGTTTCTCAAAGGCTTGAATACCCACGCACTGAGCGGAAGTCTACGTAGTGCAGTGACAATCGATCAGCAAAGCAAAACACAGGCCGGGTATAAGTGCAGGGCTGGTGACCATGCCTTTGTTCTGACCGATAGCGTGTCCAACAGGGATGCGTGACTTGACAGCTGTACTCGACTCAAACGCAGGGGTCAGCTGGTCAGTCAGACGGTCCTCGTAACGGTCCAGGGCCGCACAACAAAGAAGGGAAGCCTCTGCCATCTCTGAAGTGCAAGGATGCACAGAAAATCATGGACGACTCCATAGAGACAGCCAGAGCTCCACAAGTGGTCAATCATCATTGCCAGAAATGCCCAGCACTTCTGAGATGTTCGGTAACAACACCAATACATTAACGTGTCAAGGCCGTTGTCCAATATGAGTTGAAGTAAAGAAAAACCGAAGCAGCGAATTAACTCGATTGTCTGTCGGAAACTATCGAGTGTGTGCGGTCATGTGTCGGCTAGTGGCCTCGAGCCGGCCCTGGGGCTTTGTTTGAGGAGGTCCGAAAAGGGATCGAAGCGCCCCTCGGCACCAAAGATCAAGGGCCCGATTGAATGGCCTCTTGTCCTCTTGATTGGAGGTCACTGGCACGAAGGGCTGGTCGTAGGTCACATCAAGGATGCCCTCCTACCCGTAAGGCCGTGACCTCAAATGTCAGTCAGAGGGTCCCTTGCATCGATTGAGGACCCCCTGAGACATCGCCGGACTCAATTTCGGCCAGAGACCACCAACAGCGAACAGCCGGATACGTGCCGGTCTGAGCCCTGGGGTCCATTTCCCAGCACGAGCAAGGTTCGGGTCCGCGATTTGCAATTAGTCAGGTTCACTGAAACCATGATGATGCCGTTCAGGGGTCTACAGTGCCTCAACAGGGGATCCTGTGTCGGCAAGTGTCCCGACCCGCCAGGAGCCGTATTTGGGGAGTCCGAAGAGGACCATAAAGAGGCCTCTTTGCCTTTCGGGAACAGGGAGCCCCGTAAGTAGAACACTAGGGGGGAGGGGGGCACTGCTTTTCCCGATCAGGGAACGAAGGGAATTGCTGTTCTAACTCTTCAACCGGGGGTACTTGCCGGATACTTTTCTGGGGACACGGCGGCCGGGGCACCTTAGTCGATCAAGAGGGCCACAGAGAGATGCATCATGCATCGGTCCCCTCCCTGACGCGAAAGGCCCTTAGGACCCGGTGCAGTTGGTCTCGGATCAACGCACAGGGCCTCCTTGACGCCAAAGGATTGCTTATCGACACAGGTGTTCTAATAATGGCAGATAGTCGTAGTTCGGCTTATCGGACCTCTGACCGAAATAGGGTGGAGGTCAGGGGGCACGTCGTTACTGGGCCTGTGCATTGACACGAAACTCCTTCACTGTCTCCTTATGAAACCCTTTCATTGTCATTTTTCTCATAGTTTTTTCATTATCAGCGGACCCGGTCAATTAACAGGCTCTCTGACATTCGGGGTTACGTTCCTGTTCCTATTCAGAAAAGGAACCATGGCCGACTCGGGGCCCTTGCCGACATAGGTTTCCATGTTAGGCGTGCTGTGGCCCCCTGACCAACGCATCAGTCCCTCATTGCCTCAGGGACCCGACACAATGCAAATGATCCTCTGACTGGCAATCGCAGGCTTCGGGATGGTGTCGGCTTTGGAAATGAGCTCTAGGCCAACTCGGAGCAGGCTGTTTGAAAGTTGTGGTCGCAGATCGACTGGAGGGCATTCATCGCCCACAGGGGCCCCCAATCGACACAAGGGGCTCTCTGATGGACATCTGCGGGCCGGGGTACCTGTCCGGGATTGGACACGGGCCGGGTGTCTCTGTCCAACTCTTCGGGCCTGCTAGTCGGACCATTGATCGTCGGTCCCGTGGAGCCCTAACGGCCCGTCTGGACCAAAGCGGAGACATATGTGCATCTTTGCCCCCCCCCCCCCTCCCTTCTACCTGTTCTCCGCCTTCAGCTTATAACGGGCTTGTCTCAGGTCTGAAAAGAGCCCATTCCCAGATAAGAAACGCCGATGCAAGTTTAGGCCCAGGGAATGGCCCATCTCCGATCAGGAAAGGCCAATGGAAGGCTCAGAAAGGATCCGTGTTCGGTTAGGAACGGGCCATGGTAGGTTCAGCAAAAGCCCTCTGATGTCTGGAGAGGGCCATAGTAGACTCAAAATGTCCCTCATTCTTCAAGTGGCCGTCCACTTCAGGTTGAGAAAATAAGCACCTCATGTGCCGAACAGGCACCTCTCATCTTTTAGGCCCGGAATGGGCCCACGTCTGGTTGAATTCAGAAATGGGCCACGTTAGGTCTGTAAAGTGTCATTTTATCAGCTGTCAAAGGAGAGCAGGCTGCGAATCGGAAAGCCTACCCTGAAGTAATCTGTGGGCTGCAGGGCCTGGCTCGGGTCGGCATGACTTTCCGGGACATTCTGACAACGATGGTAACTTGAAGAGGCTCCTCCAAGAACGCAGTGTCACTGGTCCCGAGAGACCTCGCGGCTTAATCGCAAGACAGGTTCTTTGACTCACGAGATTCAGAATGAACTTCTGGGCGTCATGGCGGAGATGATAACCGCGAGAATTACTCCAAAGCGGGGAGACGATAACCGCGAGAATTACTCCGAAGCAGGGAGGTGATAACCGCGATAATTACTCCAAAGCGGGGAGATAATAACCGTGAGAATTACTCCAAAGCGGGGAGATAATAACCGCGAGAACTGCTCCGAAACGGAGAGGTGATAACCGCGAGAATTACTCCGAAACGGGGAGGTGATAACCGCGAGAATTACTCCAAAGCGGGGAGATGATAACCGCGAGAATTACTCCGAAACGGGGGGTGATAACCGCGAGAATTATTCCGAAACGGAGAGGTGATAACCGCGAGAATTACTCCGAAACGGGAGGTGATAACCGCGAGAATTACTCCGAAACGGAGAGGTGATAACCGCGGGAATTACTCCGAAACGGGGAGGTGATAACCGCGAGAATTACTCCGAAACGGGAGGTGATAACCGCGAGAATTACTCCAAACGGGGAGGTGATAACCGCGAGATTACTCCAAACGGGGAGGTGATAACCGCGAGAATTACTCCAAAGGGGGAGTGATAACCGCGAGAATTACTCCGAAACGGGGGGTGATAACCGCGAGAATTATTC